ACTCCACTGCCCCATAGGAAATTTTAGTGGTCTTTATAACAGATTCCATACAACTTGGTGTCTAGATTACATTGGTGTTTACGGTAATGTCCGTGTCCGAACCCTGTCCGCAAACTGGCTGACCAGTTGCTGACCAGTTACGATATAGTGAGCAAAACAGACAACTCTTATTTGGACAAGATATTTTGGTCACAGATATCTCCAATTAGAGCCTTGAGTCAATCCCAGCCAAGTTGCTATTCTTGTTCCGATGATGGTCGCAGCCCAGCCGGGTTAGGGGGCGATTGTTGGAGCTTAATTCAAAAACGGAAAATAATAGAGAGTTCGGAAACCACAAAGCTTATTGGAGACTATTTCTTACACTACTGGCTGAACTAGGGAACTGCAGGAGGAAGAGTTTTTAGTAGAAGGGGCACTCGGAGCTTTTCTATGATCCGGGTTATTTTCCTGTCCCGTTGTGAAGGAGTAATATCGGACAAATAAAATGGCAAAATTGTCATCCAATATTTGCTTCACAACGGTGCCTTCTTTCTCATTACGGTACCTCTTTCCGTTCCCCATAGGCCGTCCTAATGATACAGGCTGCGGTGCTGTTGGTGCCTAGCTCAATTCAGGGAGATCAATACTCTGCTGCCTGTCCTCGAAACAGAATTGCAGAAGCCCTACGATTTCCCTAGTCGGTCTTTGGATAGTTTGACTTGCCAGGAAATCCACGAGAGACACGGGTCCTAAAGTGATTTGCAAGGTCAAATGCACTTTGAAACAGTAAGCTTGGGGTAATGGTCCACCTTGCCTCCGCACCATACACTGGTATAGACAGGTACGAGCACAATGCACAAGTTGTACATGTCTCTGATTCCGAAAGAGAGGCCCACATGAAGAGGGAACGAGGGATCCGTGGAGAGTCGAGAGTCGAGAGTCGAGAGTCGTGAGTGGGAGTGGGAGTGGAAAGGAAACCAACTATGGGCTCACTAAAAGACAAGCATTGCAAGTTGGAGCCGCAAAGTCGCATGGGAGATTGCCCCAAGGGTCTCAGATGTATTTCCTTACTCCACTGGCTAAAAATAGTTTCCCTTTTCTCGTCTTTCTCTGTTTCGCATTCCGCATTCCTTTTCCCCTTTGCGTTCCTTTCAACTTCGCGACTCCAAAATTATCATGACATGAGTTCGCCATGTCCGTCTTTGCCTATTTACCGCCATTGCCACCATTTCTGTTCTCTGCGCTTGTTGTAAGTGGATTCGCCTCGAAGGCTTTGCACATTGCGTTACACATTCGCTCGTTACCGTTCCTCTATTTCGTTCTCTACTCGCCAACCCTCATTTTACAAGATGTGCTGGTTATAACATGTGTGCGGTTATTGTTGCGCTTCCACGCGCCGGAAGGCTGCTGGCAATGGTTATCCACCGCCGTAGGTGGGGGTCTATCGTATGTTTACCCCGGATGCGAAAGACGAAGCCACCAAGAATGTTGGCTCTCGGCACTTGAACATGGACTAACAACACACTAGCCTAATAACATGGGGTGCCTCGTCGATTCAGTTCGGATTCTTCCTACAAACCGGTGCCGAGGTGGCTTGGGCAGCTAGTGGGAGCTTCCTCAGCGACCCAGCCGCCATGAAGATCCTACTTAGTGGTATCTCGACTGTGTCTGCTGCAGCAACGGTCCTCGGACTAGTGGGATGGTTGGTTCATTCGCCCGTGTACAACCTCACCGGCCTTGGATTGCAGGCAATCCGAGACCTGTGTATGGGAGGATACAAAGCACGGTATACATTGATTGCCCCTAGCAAGTCGTGCATGGCCTCGTTTGACCTCCGATCATTCCGTCGCATCATTCCCGCCATCGCCATCTGTGTCTCGCTCACTTTCTTGGAAATCACTCGCCCAGAGATCCCGTACGACCATCTCTCCGGGGCTCTCCCACTGACACTGCTCGAGGCGTCCACGAAAAAGTCCGCAACGGTAGAAGGTTGTCGTGAGCCCGGGGTGCCTTTTCCTCTGATGACTGTGGATGCTAGCGGCAATTCTCACCCTCTATACCAGCCCGATCCGTCTGTGGAACAATGGTCACGGGCTTCTTGGCTTCCGGAAAACCCACCCCAGGGATTTAGTCGATGGGATATGAGTCCCCGAGACCGCGCAGTGAAGAATAACTCTTACTCTTATGTTTGTGGTGGTGTTGAAGGCGGATTCTATAACCCCAAGAATGACCCCATCAAGGTTAGGAACTTGGGCGGCGAAATCTATGAACCCTTGAAGAAGGCTTTCAAGGAACACTCAGTTCAGGTTAACCATGTGGTACTATTAACTCTTGAGAGTGGCCGAAAGGAGATGTTCCCTACACAGCAGGGCACTCCGTTCTTTGATAACCTTCTCGTCTCTCATAAAAAGAAGGATATGGAGGAGGCGATTGACCGTCTAGTGACGATGACTCCCGTTGCCCAACAGTTGACCGGCGAATACGCAACCGACAGCAAGGGAAACCGCGCCAATCTGACACATTCACCATGGAAGACACCAACGGAAGAAGGAATGGGCGGTCTCAACGTTCGCGGGGCTATGACAGGCAGCTCGTTGACTTTCAAGAGTATTCTAGGAAGCCATTGCGGTGTCAACCCGTTGCCAGTGGATCTTTTGGAGGAGGCAGCGCTAGAAATCTATCAGCCATGCTTACCGCAAATTTTCGAATTGTTCAACGAAGGCAAACCGAAATCGGATACCAGGGATACCTCCAAATCAGAGGCTTTGAAGAACCCGTGGAAGCCTGTCTTCATGCAGTCTATTACCGACAGTTACGACCGCCAGAATCTCCTCAACGAGAACATGGGCTTCAAGCACAAGGTCGTCAAGAGCACCTTGGAATCGTCTCACGCAAAGTACCACGCCTCTGGCAAGGAAATCAACTACTTCGGATATGCCGAGACTGAACTTCGACCCTATGTGTGGGATCTCTTCGAGGAGGCTGCAAACAACAAGACCCGCATGTTCCTTTCTCACGTCACCAGTACAACACATCACCCTTGGAGCACGCTGGAAGATTTCACGAAACAATCGTACATGGGTGACCAAGGAAGCATCAACCACGATCTGATGAACAACTACCTGAATGCCGCACGATTCGTTGATATCTGGCTGGGCGACATTATGAACATGCTCGACCAGACTGGCATCGCCAACGAGACTCTGGTAGTCGTCGTCGGAGACCACGGCCAAGCTTTCGGTGAGGACAACAACGACATGACCGGAACCTATGAAAATGGTCATATCAGCAACTTCCGCGTGCCTCTTGTCTTCCACCACCCGCAGATGCCACGAGTGGACATTACCGCCAACGCAACCGCGCTCACCATTGTTCCCACCATCCTGGACCTCCTCGTCCAGTCCAACTCCCTGGATGAGCGTGACTCCGAAATCGCCTCTGCGCTCCTCCCCGAGTACCAGGGCCAGTCTATGCTCCGTCCTTTCCTCGCCTTTATCGAGGAGCCATCCCACAAGGGTCATGCTGACCATCGTCGACCCCCACCCCCACCCTCACCCTCACCGAAAGCCGAGCCCGAGCCGTCCCAGTTCGAGGCCCGGTCTCATCCTGATGGCCCTGCCAAGCGATCCGTCTGGAACATGGGCCTTATCAATGCCGGTGGCTCGATGCTCTCCGTCACGACTGCCAGTGTTCCCTACCGTCTTGTCCTCCCTCTCAAAGAAGGCTTTGAATACTCCTTTACCCACCTGGGCGAAGATCCCAACGAGAATCATCCCATCAAGGCCTGGACCCTCAAAACTCTCATTGAAGAGGTCACCCCGAAACACGGCGAGGAGTCCGCTGCCTGGCTTTCGGATGCCGAGCAAGTCGGAAAGTGGTGGGTCACTGAGCAGAAACGTATCTGGGGATACCGCGAGGCCTAATTACACGTATGAAAACTAAAACCCTCCGATCTCTTTGTTGCCCTTTTGCGCAATACGATATTCACTTGGCCATTGCTCGATTTCGGGGGCCAGTTTTACCTGGAGCCGGTGTTCTTGGAGTTCCCTTTGTGTCTCGAACCAGCGTCTATGAAAACCTAGCTTCACATCTGGGGTTCCGACTCGCCGATCCTTTTACCAGTGGACGGAGCTGGTTAGCCAATTGAGCAGATGCTGCGGCTATGCTCCGGAGTCTTGAGTATGGCCAAAAGATGCGGTCGGCGCAGAAGGCTCGTAAGTTTTCCTCAGCGTTTTTCGTCGGCTAGCTCCATTTCATGGTAGGCTGAATTCAGCGAATGGGCGCTAAAGAGATACCGAACGGAGCTGGCAGAAAGAAACCTGTTTTTTTGGACCGTTTATGAAAACGATGAAGACGAGACCTATTCGAGGCAGCGAATGTTTGCACTTTTGAAGTTCATGTTGATGAAAGTAACTAAGGGAAAGCTCCATGGGTTCTTTCATGAATCAGGCGGCGAAACGTATCAGACACGATATCGGCAGCAATCGGTGAGGATCAAAAAATGCACATAAGCCGCTGACCACGCATCGCGTCTCAGACTCTCAAATCCCTCGCACGCCACGCTAGATGTGACGCTAGGAAACAGTGTGTGTATATAGAGCGGTTAGTTTTGAGCGATCTGATGGGGAAGGACCGAGGGGTATGAAGGCGGGCACCTCGGCTTCAGCACTTCTGTCTTCTCTCCAGTCTCAGTATTCGCTGCGGAATGCACACTTTTCTGAAGGATATGCTCTTGTCACACTAGATCTGAAATGATTGAATCGGTTAGTGGGAACAATATGGTGACACAGTGGACGAGAAAAACCATGTCTAGCGCTGTTGGTCGGCTATTCGGCTATCTATTCTTTGAGCAGTAGGCGGTGGTAGCGTCGTGAGGCGTGGACACGACACATGGTTCATGAGTGGGGCTTGAATGAGGGAAAGTAGTGATCAAAGATGGAGAGGAGTATTCTTGATGCTTGTGGCCCACCATACTGTAACAGTGGAGGCCTCTCAGCAAGTAGCATACATCCCTTTGAAGTTCAAACGGCACGCCAACCCAGTAACCCTTTCACGACAAGGTCGCTATTCTCCATTGCTGTATCCTCTTGCAACGCCTGTGCCAGCTTCTTTTCGATCTGGCTTGCTGTCTTAAGGAGCAAGGAACTCATGGCGTCGTCAAGAAACTGCCTCGCGCCACCAATGAGATGCCTTTGGAATGTGCCATCGGCCGGATTGACCTCGACAACAATACACCTTATATAAGGAGTGTTTTCTCCAGTGCGACGGGAGAAAATGTAAACAACTCCCGTGATAACTTGAAAGGTCTTATCGGAGCCAAGGAGGAACTCCACGTTTTCTATTCTGTTAGTATACAGGGCCAAAGGAGAAGCGGGTAACCTTGCGTAAAGTTGGTCTTACCTAAGATTTGTGCACGAAGCGCCGCCATGGTGATATTAAAAAAATCGCAGAAATGGTGCCTGTTTTGTCCAGAGGTGGACACAAAATCTGTCTGATGGGAAGGGGAAATTGAGTTTCCAGAGAAGGCTTCGCTGCATGATAGGATTCAAAAGTTGGCCAGCGCCCCTCTCTGCCCACCAATCCCCGAACACGTTGAACAACGAGCAGGTTTAAGGAAAGCTTATATACGAATTATTCTTCAAAGAGGAGCAACCATTTGTTCTCGGAATGGGAGAGAGGGGTGGTTTACTGCTAAAATATGGTGAAAGTGACAAATCAGTTTAAGAATAATCAGCGTTTCTTATTAATCTCCAAATAAATGATATAAGTGCCATTATATGTCTTGCTGCTGCGGTCGAATGTAGTAAGACTGTCATCCGTTCAAAGTATAGAGCTTTTGATCATCAAAATGACCGTTGGATGAACGAACTCTGGCTATCCATTTCAGGCTTTAGCTGTGCATCAATGTTAATACAGTACAGATGGATTAAGAGAGCAAGATAACCTGTTGAGGCCACCAACAATCAAGCTGATGGAACTACCAGCAAAACGTGTTCACATTTGCTTGTGCAAGTCTAAAGACACTAGATGAGAGAATGGTAAGAGTTTCCAGACTTGTCTAATCCATGTACGTCTCTGCCACTCCTACGTCATTCCTCCGTTTAATGGTGCGGCAGTCCTTTCAGCAGCAAGCCTCTTGCTTTAATATCCTGTTGTTATTACCTTGGCTGGCAAATTAGCATCGTGGTAAGATTCTACAGCAACCCAAGTCTGGCATTACGAGATGAGGTTGTTAGCGTACGCGAGGCCCAGTGATCCTCTATCGTCTGCACTCGGGCAAGATTGTCCAACAAACGAATAGTGCATTATTACCATCCCAACGTTCGAACAAGCTGGGATGAATCTTACTTTCTATTCCGATATTAACAGAGGTTTTGACTAGTACAGGAACATGGGTTATAGGTGGCTGCCGCTGACAAATGTTTGTCTTGGGGACGTAACTTTGTGTAAGAAAAAGGGATAAGAATGCATAGACTCCTTTAGCAACGAAGAATCACAGCCTTCAGAAACACAACAGGCAAACTATGGACGAAACCTAAGTTGGGAAGGTGCTGGAAGATTCCCCCGTAGACACCACACTCAGAGAAGCCCAAGCTTTTGCAAAATCCAGGCCCGTTTGGCACCTTTCATGGTTGCCCCATTCTTTTTGAGATATGCTTTGGTAACTGGGAGGCCTTTGCAATCAGGATGCCCGGCGTGTTCCAGCCACGACAATGGTGTTCCGTACATATCGTCGAGAGCATTGACTTGGGCTCCGTTTTCCACCAGAATTCTCGTTGCGTTGTAAGAGCCATACTCAGCAGCCCAGGAAAGAGGGGTACGTTTGTTTTGATCGCGATCGTCAATTGGCGCACCAATATCCAGAAGTCGTAAAAGAAGCTCAGTACAGTCCCCCATAGCGGCGTAATGAATCAGAGATCTCTTGAAAGGGCCCCTTGGGTTGCATATGCCCCGGGATTGGACCGACTTCTGAGTTGCTTCGAGGAAAGCCATGATGTTCTCGTCCAGCGCATTCATCTGGATATTTTTGAGGCGCTTGAATTCACCATCCATGGTTGTGGTGGATTGAGAGGACATGGTCTTTAGACACTTCGAAAAAGCCAAAGGTCAGGGTCGCGAGAGCCCGTGACCAAGCTGGGGGATCATAGGCTATATAGTAATGGTGGGAGAGGATGTCCCATGTCTCCCAAAGTATAAAATATGAATATGCTTTCTGCTATCCATGTGCTTTTCGGCGGGTTCTATTTCATTTTAGTGATGCAGGATGCTACTTGGAAGCACAGGAGTAAGGTTCAAGGGCATTCTGTTTTATCAGTGCGTGTTTCATGGCCTCGGCAAATTGCGGCTGCCGGCCACAACATACAGTATGCAGCGGACTGTTGGGTTGAAGAGACGAAAAGGCTAACAAAAAGCCAGAGGCAACTCACCCGCACCGTGTTGTAGTACCTCAGAAACATGAATTGGATCGTTCAACACAGCGTGTTGTGGGGACCAAGGCTGGGCCTACTTCCGGAACAAGACCGCCGACCACACACGCGGCCTGATACGCCTCGTAATTGGATACATGGGTCCTCGGTTATGAATAGCATAGCTCTATCAGAATGGACAAAGACCAAGGTCGAAATCTATGGTTGTGCATTTCGCGCCCCGCGTTATCGTAGTCGCGGCACATCACTTCGAAAATGGCCTGCTACGCCACAAGTGTCCAAGTGCATATCCAGTCCTCACTTCTTCAGCCACGACGACACGCCATAAAGCTGTAACAAGCCATTTTCCTTCGGCCGGGTTGTGAGGTGTAATCTGGTGAGATGTTGAAAGGAAGTACCTCAGAACTCCGGAGCTCATCAGTTCTGAAAAGGTCGCCCGCATGTTCTAGCCCTAGATACGTCAAGGGTTATTGGGCAAGCATCAAGTTGTCTTAGCTGGCCTAAACTGATCTAACCGATTCCTGACCGCATAGTGAGCCTCAATAACCGACCATACTTGCCAAAGTGTTAATCTCCCATGCACCTCAACTTTGGTCAGCCGACTGACATTTTTAATTCAATATGTTCCCCCTACAGGCAATCTGAAGGCTCTCAGAAATCTCGGTAATTCTATAAAAGCCTCTGTCATCCTTCCTCGTTTTGCTCGACTACACACAACGCCAAATCAATCGGTTAAGAAATACAGGACACGAGACGCAACACACGATATTTTCGAATTTTAAGCTCCTGTAATTCGTCTAAGACAAGGAAAATGCGTTTCTCCATCGTTATGATTCTCGCCAGTGCCTATGCAAGCGGATCTCTCGGCGGCACCCTTGAGATCATTGATATTGATGGTCAATGCGCGATATGGTCCTATGACAACCATGGCTGCACGGGATCTTCAGCATTCTTTGGCCAGCTTGAGGGAGAAAAATGCTCAAGTAAGTGGACTTCTGGCATAAGAGTCAGCAAAAAGAGTTACTAATAAACTCGCAGCGGTGAACGAAGTCGGAGACCGTACCCATCGCTACCCTGTGCACGGGGTGGAGGCTTGTGGCACGGAAGACAATTCGTCAGCTGCATGGATTCAGGTGAAGGATACGGGGGTGGTCACCTTCTCCAATCACCAGGGAGAAATGTCGTCATGTACATTAGACAACGGACTCAAGCATGGCAGCCGATGTATTGCTTCTGACTCGGGATCTTCCACCAAGGCTTCCTCCGCTTTGACGACACCGAGGTCTTCGTCATCAGTGTCGGGGTCATCCTTGACTACCTCCCAGACCGGACCTTCTTCTGATTGTTCCGCGGATTGAGGAAATATGAAGAACAAGTGCAACTCTCGGGATGTACCAAACATACCCTTCACTACTTTGCAGGTGCATGGAATTTTTGGCTTTCTATTAGTTATGTTTTTCAATGTCTGGTTTCATTTCCTTTTTGAACATTATATGTATTGAGGCCACATAAGAAAAAGAAGAGGACAGAAATGCAATTGAGCCAAGTGGAACGGGTGTTCTGATGGACTCATGCTGATTCGTAAGTTGTGATTCGATTCTGCATAAAGTTCTATGATTTCAGTCGGGGAGTAGTAATAGCCTGTATTGTAGCTATGCTTTATTTCCCAATTTGGGCGCTTCTCTTGAAGACTTCCATCGATATGATAGTATTCGAGACCTTGTCCCAATCCGACGAAAAGCAAATAAGGGACTTCCCATTTTCGGAAGACTGGGCCATAGTGATTGAATACGCCCTTTGATGTTACGGGTTAGTTTGTGCGTTATATTGTCGTCCCAGGGATTGAACATACATATAATATGACACTTCTTGAGTTTTCCGACGGTCTTCGAGCTCGACGACAAACAGCTCGCCGATCATGGGAGCACGGGTAATGCAAATACCAATGGCAGGCTCAAGGGGTATTTTATTACCCTAGGAATCTGCTAGAATCCAGTTCCGAATTCGGATAATTTGCTCCGAGTGTCTGCCTGCTTGTCCTAGCGCATTTTTTTGTCTTTCGATATTCTTTGTTATCATTTGGACCGAGAAATCTCATACAACGGATCGCCCTGTTGGGACTTAGGAGTAAAAAGCTATGTCGATGTAGCAACCGTGCTTGAGATTGCAAGTTGGTGTTTGGTTGTATGCAACTCCCTGCAGTGGTGTTCGACTTCTCACCCACACGTAAAGTGGTGCTCTAACAGGCGTCGTCCCATTGGAGTTCTGCCTCTCGAATGAAGCGAAAATTATTCTCTCTAGGGGTACTTTGGTCTAAAATCATTTTTATATGGCCTTCAACGCCGGAACTTAGATAAAACTTTCCTTGTTTTATGCACACTTTCTGTCTCGGTCCGTATAACCAGCAACTAGATATCCATAGCGGTATCCAGATACAAACATGCACATTTTCTTCATCACCATTAAGAAACAGGTCACGCCCCTGTAGATGGTTTCATTGGTGCTAGGAACGTATCTCTTGACCCTGGGAGCTCTCTTGCTCCCGGAAGCCTCTGAGACGTTTCTGGGAGCAAAGAAACATCCTCTAGGAGCCACGTAGCCCCCAGGAAACCCGATGTAGCTTCTGGGGTCTGGTATGCCCACCTCGGGGAATCAAAGCCGCGTTCCTGTTGACGATTTGCTTGATTCCTGGAGCGATGATATTGGCCTTCTAGGAGTGACGAATGACGCAGGATTTTGCGCAGGTCCGGTGAAGGTGTTTTGTGAGGGCTTTCGACGATCTCGGAGGGCAAGAGAGTGACTCTAGGGCCCTAAAGTAAGCTCCCAGGGGCTCCACAGCTCCCAGATCTGGTCGATGTATTCCCAGAGCTAGTTTCGTGTTCAGTCAGGAACGTAAAGTGAAGATCCCAGGGCTAGATCTCATTTTCCTAGAAATAGAAATAGCACCAGGATCTCAAGAGTATTTCCTAGGGGATAGACAGCTCCTAGAAATTCTTTTGAG